TTTTGCGCGATGCCTTGTAAGAGGAGGTATGGTGGTTCTTGTCCTGAATCGCCCCCCGGTTTGGAGGAAGATTGCAACAATGAGCCATTTTACTACGCCTGGTCGCCCATTGTTCCTGGTATTAAAGCACTTACGGCGAAAGAAATACACAAAAAATGCATTTGAACGAAAGACGAAAGAACGAACAAGCTCCGGCGTGGCCAGTGCATGTTGTCGTGAAATCCTTCACATTCGAGTTACACGTATCTCTGAAGAATACGTGAGAATAAGTGAGAAGAATACGTAAAAACGAACTCGTTACTTCTGAACATCCCTTCAGCGAGTTCAAAGACTCAAAATTTTTTTTTTGTAGAGGATGAAAAAAAGTAGTGAAGCAAACAAGCTTCTTTTGTCCTCTGGCTCTGGTGTATTTTGATTTCGAACGTGTTACTGCAGCTCCGCTTTTCCTCAAAAAAAGAGAAGGAAAATCTGCGTGTCATCACCAAGCACAGAGAAAAGGTGCTGCGTGAAAACGCGTTAATTGATGCTCGGCCTGTGAAATTGATTTCTATCCCAATTTCTAAGTTCTTTCATTGTATCTTCATACCGTTTCAGCAAGTTCCTTCTACACTGCTTTTGTAAGTAAGGCTTACCCTGTACAAAACTGCACCAGTGCTTTGATGTTGACGAGCTCACCCTGTGAGTTCAGACGTGCTAAGTCTTTGTCATATTCGCAGTACGATGTTGCTGAAGAATTGTTGGTAGTTGGAGAAGGACCTTTCATTCCAAGTAGCCGACGCTGGCATCCTCTTACCACCATCAAGCCTGCAACAAAATGTCAACATTCTTTTTTATAAAACTCATTACAAACTGGCTGTTATGGGAGGAGAGTCTGCAGAGGAAAAAAGAAGAAATTTCGTGCCTCTGCAGAGAAAATTTACAGTTGCAAAAGGTACTTATGTGACTAATGTAGCGAGAATTTCGTCAGCACAGCACGAATTAAAATTACAGGAAAAATATTACAATAAGAATCTAGTTGCCATAGTACATGTGAAAAACTTTGCTGTGCAAATTTGAATGGAAATATAGCACATGGATTGTTCAATTTTCAGGAAATCGTCAAAATACAAACCCGGATTGCTGCTACTGACGTCCGGATCTTGAAATAAATAAGTGATACAGTACCCGGTGCACATACTGTAGCGCTCGGTATCTGTACCGGCGATACAGGCAGCGGTGAACGACTGAACAGGGAGTGTTTGAGCAAAGCCCGTCAATGCCCAGCGACCTTTCAGGTTCGAAGATGCGCACTGCAATACAATAGCTATCGTTTAAGCTACTTCTATGCAATTTTACAACTCTTGAGTATGGACTCAGTAAATTTTCGGTAAATTCCTGGATCTAAATAGTTCATTTTAGCCATTCAGTAACACCGTAGTAGCTCTATTTGGCTTGGTACTAATGCTGTAGTTGAAATTCTCCTCGTTCGGCTAGTGCCATTCATATTCATGCGAGATTTTTTAGAATATTCTGATGTTTCAAAATTTCCCTTAGCTTCGTTATGAATGCTGCTTGCTCAAGAGGGGGAACTGAAAAACGGGATCTTTGGCGGTTTTTAGAGAGGCGTGTTGAGAAATCTTCTAATCTATGAGTTTAAAATATTCCGAGGATCGAACATCCCAGTAAGAAAAATATTTTTTAAAAAATATTAATTTTTCTAGAAGAAAGAGTATCACTAGTTTGTCAAGAGGATCAGATTTGTTCCATCCTCTTGACTTTTCACTCGCTCTACCAAGCAGCTGCTTATCAGCCGCAAAAAATTGTTTTTCCATTTAAAATTCGAATTTTCTCCAATATTTTTAGCGAAATTCTTGGATATCTTTTTATGAGCTTCTCATTCCATCGTGTTCATTACATGTGGTAGAAATGTTGCCGAGATCAGTAAAAGTAACTATGGTGGAAAATTAATGAATTTTAAAATGAGACTTTATAAAAAGTAAGGGCTGATAGTCAGATTTTTATTTTTTTTTTTTATTTTTTTTTTTTTTATTTTTATTAATAAGACAACAGAAACAAAATGATTCATACAAACCAACTTTATTTTTCTTCGAGCTGCCAAAAGATTTTTCTAACTACAATAGCTTCTACCGATGTTTAGGTTGTTTTCAACACCATCTTCACGAGATTTTCACACCAGCTGTCTAGGTAGCCTCGATATTCTTAGTAGACATAATAAAAGCTGCACCATTTAAATGCATGCTATTTACCTCCATGCATTTGTGCTCGGCATATAGCATTTGGAGCACCAGAAGACAGTAAATGGATAACAGGCGAAGGACACTCGTTGAGACAGAAAGCATCGTCGAGCAAGGAAAGCTGAAAGGTGATAATCGCCTTATATGCTGTTTCCTTTGCTTCAATAAAAACTGATTCATGCATTATTATGATCAGTTTTACACGGGCTATCGTGATTTTTACGCCGTTTGATGGCGCAGTGAGGGTAATATGGCGAACTCGTAAAATGAGGCAAGGTGATGCCGCAAATTTGATTCATTGCAAGGCAAGCCAACCAATACCGATTTTGCAAGTATCCCAAATGCTTTTATTATGAACGCTAAAAATGGAAAGAATTGACTGCAGAGGAATAATTTTTATTTGCGATTTAATTACCACTTCGGAACTGGAACCGCTTCAAGAAACTAAGATTGACAGTATGCAAAATTATTACAATACGCTTGTCTAAAAGGGCACGAATGAGGTGAGCGTGGACAAAGCAAAAGAAAGAAATTTTTAGCTCTACCGGTGGTCAGAAGAAACACAACGATGGGAGAGCAACTGGTCAGCGTAAAAACCATCAAATGGAAATTACTGCTGAATGCGCTTTTTTGAAAAACGATGAAAAATATGGGCTATCGGATTACGCCCCACAGCTCGTCGTGCTGATTACATAACGGATTTGCATGATTCTGTTGCTTGCATGCACGAATCTGAACGATTAGTACGAAGCGATTAGTACACCATCATTCGATGACAACATTATTATGCGTACAGTTAAGAATAACGTAGCAATTTTTTCTTAAGCGCATTGTTAGGAAAATATTTAGGATGCAGGCACGGAAAAAAAGCAAATTAGCGAGCTATTCTTTTGGTAATTTAACCAGACCAGGCTGGAACGCACAAGGCTTTCGGTACAATCGTATATTTTTGTATTAAACCTGGAGTAGTCGGGTCGTTAACTATATGAATAATTGTTGCTTTAGCTTGTGTACTTAGTGTAAATCATTATGAGTTTCGCTTAAATAAAAACGAACAATTTCTGTTGAATAGTTTTTCATTGTGAATGACTTAGCTGTTCAATGAGCAGTTTTCCAGCCAAAACTTTTATATGCATTTACGTAAGAAGGCGAGCGTACCTGGGAGCTGAATTTGAAATCTTTGAGTTGTACGTGGACAGGGAACATTCGCTCAAAATTTAGCTTTCCAGCTTTTCTCGTCCCTGAGTAGCATATTTCCCGCCAAAGCTTCCACCTCTTCGTACGCGGGTTTTGATGTGCTTGAATGTTGCCACCGCGTTCTTGAAGTGGAGCTTGGCCAGAAAACCCATCGACAAAGTTTCAGCGTCGAAGTCTGCTTGGTTGCCGAGTTGAAACACTCGGACAGACAAAAACACTCGCCGTGAGTCTTATAACATGCGCCTTCGAATTTGATTATGCGCAAAAACGCATAAAAACGCAGGAAGATTTAAATTTTAACAACGATTTTGCATAACTGCATAAGCTAAGCAATTCAATTTTGGTAAATAATTCTTTTCACGACTTAGTTAGCACTACAGTCCTACAGAAAAAATCATAACTCTTTTCGTATTCGCTCTTTACGAGAGGCTGAGGCACCCGCAAGGAATCCGTTTGACAACAACGACCATCCACTGCCGGTTACTTCCTCATTTAGGTTTGCTTAGAAGCAAGTTGATGTCTCTAGCATACGCCAGTATCAACTTATCACCGAAGGAATGCCAACGAGGAGTAGCGCTTCAGCATCATCGTGCCACGAACAGCAAATATACTTGCCCCATTTCCTGGAAAGATTTGATAAATCCTCAATGCAGCGGCATTGTCTCGTAGATCAAATCTTGCTTCCTTCTCCAGTATGTTGTCTTCACTCCTGCATTTATTGTGTCTCCCGGACGGAAAAGTAGCGCAGGCGCTTTTTTCTTCTATGCATCATTTCTTTGACAACTAACTTACGTTTTTTTTTCTCCTATTCTCTTTCCAGTTATAACTATGAACCGCTAAGGACTGTTCATTTCTTACCTTTCATCGCCTCTGCCTACAGTACGCCACTTCTCTTGTACAAACTGTTAGACTGAGAGGCCAGTGTGGTGCTGTTTTGAGGTGCATCTACGTATGTTGATCAGCATTTGCTCTTTTCAGCAGCGCAGGCGGCTTGCTGAGGCATGATGTGTTGGCCTGACTGTGCGAGATCCTTTCATTTTCTTTGATGCATATGCATGGGACTGGTCACTTATCTCCCTAAATTCTTCAGCATCGCTGATCTATGAGAAGATAGTCATGTGGGTTGGCGAGGCTGGAAGGAAGCTCAGCCGGGTAGTGTTTTTAACTATGCCAATCTTGTTTATATCTCT